CGAACACGCCGCCGCGCGCCCGACTAGTGCAGCCGACTCGGAGGCGGCCAAGACTCGACAGCGCGGCCAAGCCTTGACGGACGACGGCGACTGCGAGTACCCTGAAATAAAATGACCATGGGTCCATCCCAAGGTTACGCAGCAGCAGTATCAACATTCTTTTTTTCATTTCCTTTTGGTGAGCTAAACTATACTGATGCTGATTCTGTTGTCATCCTCTTCTTCTTCTTCTTCTCCATACCTTCTGCTGGCATTGTGCAGGCGCTGTTTAATGTTGTGTTTGGTCAATGGGATTGGATTGGACGAGATTATGACTGAATTGAAGCGCATGAATTGTTTGTGCACGCCAATTGGCGATTCACATCTTCGGCAAGCGCGGCATATGTGTGTTGGATGGTCTTTTTGTGCATTTATTGCAAACTGACATGTCTCCTCCAATTCTGTTTTATGCAGCTCATCATCAGCCTGTTGACATATGCAGGTTGAAGCACCTCTTCCACAGCATGAAGGAATCAGGAATCTTCCACATCCACAGCTTCTGCATTCACTATCTCAACAAAGATGAGCATGTTGACCCCAACAACACCAACAAATTTGGTAAGTTGTAGTTTGGGCTGCTTTCAACATCTTGCTTACACCAACTTCCCTTGGTATTACAGAGGCTGTTGACTGCAACCATCAACTTATCATTTGGTGCATGCTTGGCCTCAAGGAATGGGAACAGTTCCAGATTGTCAAGCTAAGGTGGGACAACATGGATGTCAACCACCTGATACTCAACACACTCTCACAGTCCATCAACAAGATCAATGCAACAGGAGCAATCACTGTCTCAGCCTTCAACACCTCACTTGCCCACTACAAGCAGTACACCCTTCCAGCCTGGGCTACAGCATCTGGCACACCAAACTTTGCTCTCTATGCTGCCTATGTGGTACACCACTACAACCTGATCTTCCTCTTCTTGTGTGAGAAATCTGCTTGTCTCAACAATCTGATGCATGTTGGATGCTCTTTCCTGCTTTTATGATGTTGTGTTAACAACAAAATTGCTTGTCAATATGCAGAA